GCCTCTCCTGCCACCATCCTACTCACTTATCCCCTCAGCCTCGCAAGCCCCCTGTCACGTCTACCAACACAGGCTCTGTCCCTCCTGAGCATTCGCATATGCTGCTCCCTTGGCCTGGAACGCCCAGGTCTTTGAAGGACTCCCTCCCTGTTCCATTCGGGTCTCAGCTCGAAAGTCACTTATCTGTCCACTTGTCTACTCACCAAATGGCAGCTCCATGGGGCCAGAGCTTGTCTTGTTCACCCCTGTATTTCTAGAGCCTAGAACATATGAGTATTAAGCACTTACTTAGCAATTTTCTTTTTATGAGTGAATAACTTTTTCTCTGAAACTAGTATCTCAATATCACGAGATAATACAGTCCAAGATGGTGCTGTCCCCTCATGAAAGCCTCAAGTTCCTAAACATACAGGGTAGGTGCATCACTGCCTTGTCACGTTGCTGTTCTTACTGTCACTGCTGGGGGGTGTGTGCGTGTGTGTGTGTGTGTGTGTGTGTGTGTGTGTGTGCGCGCGCGCGCGCGCGCATATGTGTTTTAAATCATAAAGGTCCTTGTTGAAAAAGAAATTATAAATTTCTTTAATAGCTTCTATTCACTTGGCTAACATCCAAACAGCCACTTAGATGCCTTGGCATTGATTTTTCATCAAGCAAATTAATGTATTTCTGCACTCAGCCAAGGCTCTTGATTGGCCTGTCAAACAACCAATCAGCTTCCAAAGAGAAGGTTCCCTTTCACTCTCTGAGGGGCTGCTGTCCCACCTCACTGTCCCTATCACACCCCAGGGGTGAAAAGGACAGAGAAGGCCAGGCTGAGGGGAATGCGGGGGCAGAGAGGTGGGCTGCATGCAGAGCCAGCAAAACAAGACCCAAGGTCAGAAATACAGGGCTGACGCCAGGCAGAGGCAAAACAACAAAGGTGGTCAGGAGACCTGTGGGCCAAGACCACCACAGGCTGTGACATCCAGTGTTATGAGCTGAATAGGATCCCCCAAAATTCATATATTAAAGTCCTAACTCCTAGTACCTCAGCATGTGACCCTGCATGGAGATAGGGCCTCTGAAGAGATAATTAAGGTTAAATGAGGTCATTAGGGTGGGACCCTAATCCAGTATGACTGGTGTCTTTATCAAAAGGGGAAATTTGTACACAGACACATACAGAGGGAAGACAATGGGAAGACACAGGGAGAAGACGGCCATCTACAAGCCAAGGGGCCTCAAAAGGAGCCAATCCTGCTGACCTTGATCTCGGACTTCCAGCCTCCAGGACTGTGAGACAATAAGTATCTGTTGTTTAAGTCACCCAATCTGTGGCACTTAGTTGTGGCAGCCCCAGCAAATCCCTAACCTTCCAGAGCCTCAGTTTCCACACCTGCAAAATGGGGACACCTGGCAAGCCTACCTCACAGATTTGCTGTGGGGAGCAAACGAGACTAGATGTGGGAGAGCTTTGTAAACTATGCAGAATTCTACAGACGTCATCAGGATGTCTAACTTCAATCTCAGAGTGGGGTCTGGGGGTTCTAGGCATCAAAGCGGGTCAAGTCTGGGGCCTGTGGGGTCACAGTTGGAGGTGTGCGAGCTGGAACAGCATCTTGGCACTCTCCTGCTCCTAACCCCGGGGTAGGGAGGGGAGCTGCCCTCCCACACAGGTGTTTAGTGGATGTGGGAGAAACAGAACTTGCATGGGAGAAGGGAAAGAGAACAGAACAGAAACTGGTGATCATTAAGAAATTAAAAAAGAAAAAAGGGCCACATTTAGGTCGCTGGGAGTTTTCTGGGTAAAAATAATACTTTTTATGTGTATGGTACTCTTGATGGCAGTGGGTTTTTTTTTTTAACCTACTTGAGGTCAGGAATCCTTCTGAGAGCCTGATGCACTCTCTCCCCAGAAAAAAAAATAAGCCACTTACCACATACCACATTACATACCAGCATGGTCCTATCCTACAATGATGAAAATCGACACTGTCCAATATGTCAGCCACTAGACACTATGGCTATTGAGCACTTGAAATGTGGCTACGGCGGCTGAGGAACTGAATTTTTCACTTTCATTTCAGTTCATTTTAATTGAAATATCCATCTGTGGCTAGTGGCTTCTGTATTCTACAATGTAGTGATACACTATTCCAGAGGAGTAACAGACCCCCCTGCAGCTCACTCATGAAATACCCTTGCCAGTGGAGCCCAGGTTAAGAGCCACTTATGATGATTACACTGTCTTCAAAATAATTATCTCTTTTGAGCTTACCAGCACATGTGTCATCTCATTTAATCCTACTGACAACCCCGAGAGAGGTAGGACGTTTATCCCCATTTTACTGGTGCAGTTACTGAGGCACTGAGAGAGCCGCCATCTTGCCCAAAGTCTCATTCTAAGCCCCAGTGGAGGATTTGGGACTGACCTCCAAGACTGTCTAATGTGAGAACTCGAGCTCTTTCCTGACTCCCTAAAACCAATTCATAGGGTTTTATGAACTGAGATGAATGGAGGCCCAAGCTCCCACCTGAGGCCTTGATGGAAATTATTTCGAGTCACCTAAAGAACTTTAATTCATGCTGGTACTCATCTTTAAAGTTCTAAGCAAGGGCTTCTCTTCTTCTTGAAGCCACCAGCAGGAGCTGGACTGAGGCCAGTTTGACCATGATAATAGAATGTTCTTCCATTAAGGTTCATCTCTGGCCTTTCCTGGGGAGGGAGACAAATTCCTTTTCCCCATTCAGCCTGTAGGATTCTCAAGGCCAGAAAGGGCACAATGATAGCGGAGAAGTCAGGCTTCTCCATGCCAGCCTTCCATTATAAAGGACCTAGGCCTTCATGCAGGAACAGATTCTCTGCCTTCCTGATAAAGAAGGCTCCTGATCTAGGCCAAGAAACCCCAAACACAGAAGTGCTCACAGAGCATGCGACCCACCCCAGTCTACACCGTACAGGTCTCATCCTTCATTACTGCCTTCAGGTTTCCATAGTATTGGGTCGTTGGAAAAGTCATGACGCATTTTTGCAGCGAAAAAAAATAGAAAAAATACATCATGACTTTCCCGGAAACCCAATAACTGGGCCACATGGAGCAAGAACACTCAGTATTGAATACAACTGACTCTCGTCCTGCATGTTGTATCTCTACTCACTTCTAATGTCTAGATATTCCCCTCACTCACCAGGCAGATTCGGATTTGTTGGGTCAGCCTGAAATTCTACTTTCACCAATTCTTCCTCAAAAAAAACTCCTCCAAGGCCCAGCCCGGATGGCACACATCTCCAATGAAAACTTCTAACCCCAGACCTCCATGGTCCCAGAATACGTCGTTTATATGTCTCCACAACACATTTTCTATCACACCTTGCATCATTTCTTGATCATGAGATCCATAGCATATTCCTCTTTAAATATCTAACCATGTAGACACTCAGTAGAGCCGTGGTTCCCAGGCTGTTAAAACACAGATGGCTGGGTCCCACCCCCAGAGGTGCTGACTCAGCAGGACCCAGGCGAGGCCCAGGAATCTGCATTTCTAACAATCCCAATTTATGCTGATGCTGCCGGTCCAGAGGCGGCAGCACTTTGAGAATCACTGCAAGGGATGTTTGTGGAATGAATAGATGACTGAATGAATGAAAATTTCCCATAAAAAAATCCTATCCCCAAGAACTCCAAAAATGAGCTTTAGAAAAATCAACATAAATGATATTACCACCATTCACTTCTGGGCGAGGAGCAAAAAACAGCAGGGAACCAGAAGAAAGAGAATTTTAAATATCAAAAAAACTCAAGCGTTACCATCTGGTTTTCTCTTAGCCCTGACTGCATAACTTCTTATGATCAGACCAGAAATTAAAACTAGGTTCATTCTTCTGACTCAACCATACATTAAAAACTATTCTGGACAAACACTTTGACTTGGAAAGTCCAAAACTTGGAATTTTTCATAAGAAAATAATCAGAAATGAATGTAAAAATAATGTCCAAGGAGGGTCACTAAAGCCCTGTTTATAATAACCAGAAATTTGAAACAACTTAAACGTTTGACAAAAGGAATTAGAGTCCATAAATTATGGTATTTCCATAAATGGAATACTATAAAGCCTTTTAAAATGTCCTTATAGGGGAATATTTACTGATATAGGAAGAGATGCATAATATAAAAAAATGGGGGAAAAATCTAGCTAAAAAACAGTATAAACACTATGAACTAACTTTGAATAAAGACTGCATACAGATGTAGAGCAGTAGATAAAAATATAAATATGGATAGAGAGCTATTTATCAAACCAGGAGTTAGAACAGGAATCATTTTTTAATTTTAACATTTGTATTTAAATCATCTCTGCAGTAAAACACATTGTTGGTGTCACGGTTTTCCAGGATATTTTTTAAAATGATATGCTGTGGGAAGTTTATACTCTCCATTTCTTCCCAGGGGGACCAAAGAGTTGAAGCTTGAGCCTTTTTATAAGCTTCTCCCCAATCCACCTTTCTACAAACACCAACTACAAGGGACTACCTTGGTGACGCATCTGTTATATCAACAGATCCTTCTTCTTTTTCCCAAGTTTCCTGGACCTGCTCAAAGGTAATTCCTAACTTTGAGTCACTCGGGCCACCACCCACTGCCTGAGCATCAGCTTTGGAGCATGACATTTACAATGTATCCTAGGTCACTTGGTCACCCAACAAGCTTCCATTTTTCAGAAACCACACTGTCTTATACTGGGTTTCCATAGGCGGGTTGCTTAGCAACCGCCAAGGTACTGGGAAGACGGAAGATATTTTATGACCAAATTGAGTTTCGTTACATGTGTCTGATTGCATTCAAGGTAACCAAATAAAAGATAACACCCATCTATTTTTGCATCATGAGGAAAAATATACTTGGCTCCTGCCCAGAAGGGCAATTACCTAAAAATCTTGGCAGGCCCCATGGTATGAGAAATGGTAACTGATCCAGGGGTGAAAAAAACACACACAAAAAAAACCCCCACAATCACTGACCTTCATAAATACTGATGATATGAGGATGGTTGAGGGATGACATGATCTCAATCTCTCGTCTGATGTGAACCATGTCTTGTTCATCCTTAATTTTGTCCTTACGAATGGATTTTATAGCAACCTATAAAGTCAGGAAATGAAATGTTACTCGGAGAGCTAAACAGATGCAAATCAGCTATTGGGGGAGTTTGGAAAATAAATACAGATGTTACGTGTTGGCAGAGCCGACAATAACCAAAACAAAGCTTCGAAATACCCCCTGTCATGTCTTTCATTTATAGCAGAAACACCCTTCTCCCGACAACAGAAAACATCAGGTTTTAACAGCCTGGGGTTTGGGATGGTGGGGTTTTTTTCCATAAAGTTGAGGCTGCTTCACGTGACCAGATTCATTTACTCTAGGAAGCCTGATCTTTTGAAAAAAGAAAAAAAAAAAGGGGTGCTCAGTTTACAGGCTATCGATGATTAAACATGAATAGGTGAAATTAGCATCACTCAGCTCTACCATGCAGCTGGCAATGATGACTACAAAAAGCTTAGTTGCATGCCCTATCTAGAGGCCAATTCTGCTCAAACCTTGGGTTTTAAGACTCCAGGTTATTCTGCATTTATACAACTGCTCAGAAGCCAAATCCTTCCTACATCCTTTCCCTTGCTCAAGGCACTGTCAATAAATAGCACATGATGCGACCAAAAGTCTCTGCTACAGAAAACATCAGGGTAAAACCAAGGGAGTGACAGCCAGACTCCCTGCGCAGCCCCAGTTGATTCCAAAAGCTCCATGCCAATGTCTCCTGCAAATACAAACCATTGAGAATTGCCAGGGCCAAGGCACAGAGCATACTCAAAAGAAGTCCATCAATAAAAATGCATTAAATGACAATGGGACTCTAATAAGGAAAAATACACTGAGGGTGCCAAAAAAATGTATACACATGACTGGTATTCATCTTTTGTTATCGGTATATATTATTACAATTTTAATACACTTTTTTTCCTTTCTTAAAATGTGTATATATTTTTTTGGCACCATCTGTATTTGCCAATGGATTCATCTTTGTTCATGGACAAGTAGGTTGGCAATTTAATTCTCCTTGGTTCTAGGGGGACAATACTTTGGTGAGAGACGTATCCATGGGTAACAAGGAAGCCCACCAACCAATGTGCTGCCAGCTACGAAACTGCTTTGTCCCCTCCAAGCTGGTGCTTCTGCAGCCTCAACTCACCTGGACCAGCCTTTCATAGATGAAAGGAGGTTAAACCATCCCTCTGGATTACAAAGGTATTAAGTGCTCTGGGAAAAAAAAATGTCCTTTTGTCAGCAGTCCAGTACCACACCCTGACTATCACGGGATGAATGAACCAGTCGGCCTCAGCAGGATCATATACACATCTGTGAACAATCACAACTTCCGGCTGACGCCAGGTCCCCACCAAACACTATACATGGCAACGATTCTCAAATACAATGAGGCCGTCTATGACTCAGCAAGAACGGGGAAGCTATTTTTACTATTGTTTTGGCTATTTACTGACCTCCCCAAAACAGGTTAAGTCGACTAGCAGCTCCCTGTATTTCTCCTTTGCGGAACCTCCCCCATGGGAAATTAAATCAGTATTTGTGTCGCTACTTAACTCTCCACCAGTGGGGATCTTATTCGCTGCTTTATCTCCAGTGCTTTACACTGTGCTTGGCACGTGGCAGGCCTGAGAAAACACTTGATGTGGGCAGGCAGGCAGGTAGACAAGCAGAAAAGGAAGGAGAGGAGAGAAGGAGAGAAGGAGGGAGGTGAGGGGGCGCGGATGGGGTGGGGGTTGATGTTCTTAGCTGATGAAAGCCCAGACCAGAGGGGTGATAGCGGAACTGGAGCCAAAAAAGGAAGAACTGCTCCTGCAAACACAGCCAAGACAGGCACGATTGTAAGGTGACTCGGGATTTCTTTGACATCCTACCTTCATGGGCAGTCGAGGAACGGAAAAAGCAGAGAGAAAACACAGAGAAAAGGGGGCTGCACAAAGATGAATCAGCTCAGCTACAAGGCCCCTTTTCACCACGGTGCCAGGCGCAGAACTACCCGAGGCCCTCAAGACAGCGCCATTCAGTGTGTAGCAAGAAAAGCTTCCGTATGCTGACGTCACATGCAAAGATATGACTGGAAGGCTTTATTTTATCTGAGCAGGGCCTGCGATCCTGAAAGCTGGTTCTTGGAGGATGCAGACAGTGAACACACACAGACGAGGAGGATGTGGGTTGCTGTTGGACCAACTCCTGCATTCCTCCCTGAACTAAAGATGGGCTCGGGGAGAAACCACCCCTTTGATTATGCAGTAGGCTGAACTTGGCCTCCAGGAAGCCTTGTTGTTAAATGACAATAAGAATACATTCTTCTAGCATCCAGGGTCAGAGGAGGGTGACGACATTCTGAAGGATGAGAAAATAAGCCCACTTGTCAATTCCCCCTAACAGTGGAGCCAGGGGCCGAGGGTCCCGCGGTGCATTTGCCAGGGGGATGCTTCCAGCCCAGTGTGAAAGGGGGTTATGCCCACATTCTAATAAAGCCCCACTCAGCACGGAGGAAACCAAAAGGGCTCCATAAATGTTAATAAGCATGGTGGTTGTCCTGCCACAAAAGCTTCCCTTTTCTGACAATGAATCTTCTATTGAAACTGTAAGAGGGCTCATTCTGCGCCCTATTTCAAAGGGATGGTGGGAAGTCAGGAGGAGATAAATGCTAGAAATCACTTAGAGCTGTGTAACTGCCAAGGTCATAAGGCTTTCTGGTCATTCCCAAGAGCAGTGAGATGACTCACCCAAGGTCGTAGAGCCAGTTAATGGCAAGCCACAAAAACAATAACGACAGTAATAATAGCAGACATTCATAGCGCACTTAATATGTGATATGGACACTGTGCTAAAGTGCTTTATACACCCCAGAGCTTTACATCCTTCTCATCAATGAAGGTTCAGCTTCATGCCACCCCTTGGGGAGGCCCTCTCTGACCCCTCTAGCTGATAAGGCCACCCCTGGCCACTTCCTTCTCTCTACACCTTTCCTCATGTTATCTATCTTCTTTGGGCCATTTTCCACCATCTAAAATTATCTTGCTTCTTTGTTTGCCTATGGGCCAAATCCAGCTCCAATCCGGTTTCCATAGGACCCAGAGAGCTAAGAACAGTGGTCACATTTTTAGAGCTGTTTAAAAAGGAGAAGGAGATGGATAAATGTGGCTCCTGTAATGTAATGTAGTGCCTGCTTCATAAAGTTGAAGGATAAACTGAGCCTGGGCACAGTGAAGCAGTATTACATAATGGTTAGGGACGTGGCTTTGTGTCCTGGCTAAAATCCCTCACTAGCTGTGTGTCCTTAGGCAGGTTACATAACCTCTCTGTTTTCCAGTTTCCTCATCCTTCAAGTAGGGAAATAACAGTCGCTGCCTCATGGGTCCCTCCCCATGAGGATTACACATTAGGTGCTTAGAATGTGCCTGGCCCAGGGTAAGTGCCCCATAAGTCTCAGCCATGTTTAACCCAGAGAGAGTGCCTCATTCTTAGGGCCTTCCTTCCTTCCTTTCATCCTCAGAACAAACTTGAATTCCTGCTGGTTCCTCATGGGGCAGCAAGCGAAGGCCTTGGGAACAGAGACCAGACTTGTTCCCAAAGTACGTAAAGGGCAAGAGAATCTCTCTCTTGGGTCTTTACATTGTACCCTCATCTGAAATGTCACGAAGCTCAGAGCCACTGGGGCCCACCATGATCATCATGACATCTAAGTCTGAGACCAGACAGAAGGGTGGACAACTGGAACCCTGGACCATCCTACCCCATCTCCTTCTGAAGGTTGCCCATCAGGTGAACAGGGGAATAAAATCTTTCTCCTTAGCATCAAAAGTCTGACTCAGGATATCCACTTCAGCCTTTCTGGATTTTGACTGTTCATTCACTTATTCCTTGGAGCAACTACCAGTTGCTCAGTGCTGAGACAACACAAAAGACAGCCAACAATATTCTGCCCCAGCCCTTAAGATGGGGGGAGGAGCGGGAGAAGGACAAGAAGCAAAAATTACACAAATAATTACATAATGTCCTTCATGGCCAAGGGCTACCAAAGACACCCACAGAGATGCTAGCATTATGGAGAAAAGTTCCTCTCCAGTTTTCCTCCATCCTCACCCACATCTACAAAGAAAGGCAGAGGTAAGGAAGGGCCCAGCAGGAAGAGATTACCAAATGTCTGAAATCATACACCCTCAAAAAAAAAAATCCAATTTGTTCCTGCACAAGTCAGACAGATTTCACTCCACCTTCAAAATGACTGGAGCCGGGAACTCAGGTGCTTGCGCCTGCCACACAGCACATTTTCATAAATGTCCCACGTCTAGACGGCACCGTGTGCCTTATAAAATGGTCTGCTTTTAAATAAGGCCACCCTACAGTTTAATGTTTAAACCGTATGCAGCAGCAGGTCTGGCCATGGACTTGCAAATTCTACCCTGTAGTGCCTGCCTGTTTAAGAGGGAAACAGCCCAGCCAATTCCCATTCCTTGTTAAAGTAACAGGCCCGGCCTCCTCGTCCATGGAGGTAGTTTCTCCTTTTTGGAATAATCACCAGAACCACCTACTCTGCAGCCCGCCACAGTGGCCTCTGTGAATGTTCAAGGCTCAGTGATCTAGGTAGGGTTAATGGTGAGGCAGAGCAGTACGGTGAAAGCTCAGGCTTTTACTGACTGGGTGAGCTCACACGAACCTCACAGGTCTCAGTTTCCTCACCTGTAAAATGAGGCTAGCCAGTGGTACCTCCTGGGGCTGTTGTAAGGAGTGGAAATAATGTAAGTAAACTTCCTGGCACATAGTAGGTGTTCAATGAACAGTGTGCCAATAAATGGCCTATCAGACACGGGGTCCTGAACCATGTTTTAGGAGTGGTGAGCCCACAGCAAATCAACTCACAGGCCTTTCCCCTCCCTGTTTCCCCCTCACAGCCTCCTCGTCCCCTCACTTGTATTAAGGCAACGGCAGGTTAAAATTAAAATTCATATTCAGCCTGCATGCTCACATACAGCAGGGCAGACAGCTGTCTTCCTGGCCTGCTTTGAGGAGCGGGGAAAATTCTAGGCAGGTTG